CAGACACACACACACATACATGCACAGATACATACACACACACATACGCACACAATTGCGCACACACACATACACACTTACACACACACATATGCACACATGCACAGACTCACACATACACACACTGACACATACACACATATGCACACGCACACACATATGCACACACACACATACTCATACACAGACATACACAAACACGTATGCACGCACACACATACGCACACACACATACACACACATACACACACATATGCACACACACACATACACACACGCACTGACACACATGCACACACATAAAACTCACATACACACGCACACACACACATGCGCACACACACACATATGCGCACACATACATGCACACACATACACATACAATTGCGCACACACACATACGCACACACACATATGCACACATACACATGCATACACACACATATGTATACACACTGACATACATGCACACGCATACACACATACACACACGCGTGCGCACACACACACGCGCATACAGACACACATACGCACACACATACGTGCATACATACACACACAGGCACACACACACACTCACACTGACACACATACATACACACACATATATACACCCAAACACACATACACACACACACACACACACAGACACATGCATACACACACTGACACATACACAGACACTGACACATACACAGATATACGCACACATACACACACATACATACACACACAGATACGTGCACACACACACACACATACATGCACACAGACACACACACATACGTACATACACACACAATCACACACACATACACACACACACACAATCTCTCACACACCCACACACACACACACATACACACACATGCACACATACACACACAATTCATCTTTATCTGATAATATAATTGCAGGTTGTTTCTAGGATTGTCTGACGTTCTTTTGATTTCAGGACACTGTGGTAGCTCTCCAGGCCTTGTCCCAGTTTGCAGCTCGGAGCTTCTCTCCTACAATGAATCTCATGGTGTCAGTCACAGGACCGGGGCTACCCATGCCGGCAAACTTCAGTATCAACCGCTCAAATGCGATTGTGCTTCAGAGCAAACAGGTACCCAGCATTCTGCCATTAACAAGGGCACTTCAGGCTCGGGTTATGAGCCCAGCTGATGATAACACAGAGCAAAACATGGCTCAACAGATCGTCAGTGTTATTCCTGCATTTTTCTCACTGTTGTGCCCAGCCGTTGAACATATCCACAAGAGGCTGCCAATGTACTTTGAACAAAATAGCATCAAAATTTACGACACGGAAAAAAAAAAAATCACAACCTATGTTACACCATTGGCTGATAGAGTCATAGAGGTCTACAGCACAGAAAAAGACCCTTCAGCCCACTGAGTTGTTCTAATCACATTTTCTAGCACTTAGCCCATAGTTTTGTAAGCTTTGACCTTGCAAATACACATCTAAGTACTTTTTCAATATCTCTACGTCTCCAATTCTACCTCATGAGAACTAAATAAAATGATCTGATTACAAGGCTCAGAAATAAAGTTTACAAGCCGTTTACCCTCAACAACAACCACACAGATACTCAAACCTCAAAGAATTTGACCCTGTTTCCACTTTAACATTCCTTGTCCAGGATGCTGTCAACCTCCTTGAGTGTTGTTGAAACTGCACTCATTCAGGCAAGTGGGGAGCATTCCATCATTGAATCCCTTCAGTGTTCGGGCAGGCTATTCGGCCCATCAAGTCCATAGCAACCCTCCAAACAGCATCCCACTCAGACCCACCTCCCTATACTATCCCTTGTAACCTAGCATTTCCCATGGCTAACCCACCTAGTGTGCACATTCCCTGGACACTATGGGGCAATTTTACTTGGCCAATCCACCCTAACCTGTACATTTTTGGACTGTGGGAGGAAACTGGAGCACCCAGAAGAAATCTGCACAGATGCGGGGAGAATATGCAAACTCCACACAGACAGTTGCTTGATAGTGGAATCGAACCCAGGTCTCTGGCGCTGTGAGGTAGCAGGACTAACCACTGATCCACTGTGCCACCCATAACACTCTTGACTGCTTTTTTTTATTAACTCTCTCATGGGATTCAGGCATCACTGGCTGGGCCAGCGTTTAATGCCTGTCCCTAGTTGTCCTTAAGAAGGTGGTGGTGAGCTGCCTTCTTGAACCGCTGCTGTCTATGTACCTTGTAGATGGTGGACAGGCTTTGGGGAGTCAGGGAGTGAGTTACTTGCTGTAGTGTCACCGTTGTTGCTATATAGGCAGAGTGGCAGCCAATTTGCTTCAACACGCTCCCAAAACAACAATGATATAATCTCCGAATAATCTGTTTGGTTTTGGATGCGGGATGCATCTTGCTCAGGTCACATGGCTCTTCTGGGATCTTCACCACCCAGCTGTAAAATGTTAGAAATCACCCGACACCAGATATAGCCCAACAGGTTTATTTGAAAACACAGGAGCAGGATTGAGGCTCAAAAGCTTGTGGTTTCAGATAAACCTTTTGGACTATAATCTGGTGTCGTGTGATTTCTGACCTTGTCCACCCCAGTCCAACACCGGCACCTCCACATCATACCCAGCTGTAAAGGTGGACAGGTTCTTTGTTTAATGTCTCAACCAAGTAAACAGCACCTCTGACACTGCAGCACTCCCTCTGTACTGCACTGGTAGCATCAGACTGGGCACTCCACAGCCTCACAATGCTGTGATAAAAGAATCTGGTAATTTATTTTTACTCGCTCGTGTGTCTGGCTGGGGCAGCATTTATTGTTTGTCCCTAGAATGTCCTTGACATAAATGTCTAGATCTGGAGTGCAGAAAGAAACTTGTGATCTAGTGTCTCAAAGGTGAAAATGTTTACTGCCACAGTTTACACCCTCTGGATTAATTAGCTAGTAAAATAACTATACCTTAACTAACTGAGAGGAAGGAATGCTGGTAGCTTCTTCACATTCAGAATGAGTCTAATCTGCACTGTTTTCTCTGTTACTGTCCCTTGAGCTCTCAGTGTTGCACTTCACCTAATGCCCTCCTATCTTCTCTTTGAATGTACAGATTGGAATTCAACAACCCATGCTGATTACTGTAACAGCACAGGGCCAAGGACTGGCCATTTTCCAGGTACTGTAACTTTCTCAATAAAAACCAAAAGAACTGCGGATGCTGTAAATCAGGAACAAAAACAAAGTTGCTGGAAAAGCTCAGCAGGTCTGGCAGCATCTGTGGAGGAGAAAACAGAGTTAACGTTCCGGTGACCCATCCTCAGAACGCTGTAACTTTCTCACTTTGTGGATGGCATTCTCCAGACATTTCCATTACTGTGTCATTAATAGTCATTGATGTTCACATGCATTATATGTTGAGGAAAGTTGCCCAGGCCTCAGAGAGGTTGCAGGACAGATTTGCCACAATTATATTAAGGCTACAGGGATTAACGGGGTATACAGAGAAAGTTGGAACAGGGGACTGAGTTGGATGATCAGCTGTGATAGTAATGAATGGTAGGGCAGCGTTGAAGGGCTGAATGGCCTACTCCTGCTCCTATTCTCTGTGTTTGCATAACACCATAAGACCATAAGAACTAGGAACAGGAGTAGGCTGTTCAGCCCTTCCAGGCTCCTCCATTATTCAATAGTTTCATGGCTGATCCAACATTCCTTGCATCTACTTTCCTGCTATTTCCCCTCGATTCCCGACTGATCAAGATTCTATCTCAGCCTTAAATATACGCAGAGATTCTGTCCCCACGTTGCTCTGTGGCACAAAGTTACAAAACTCGCACACCTCTGAGAGAAGAAATTTCTCCTCATCTCAGTTTCAATTGGCGCCCCTTCAATCTGAGACTATGCCCTCTGGTCCTAGACTCTCCAATGAGGGGAAACATCCCCTCACTAATTAAATATCAGTTTTCCGGGCAGCCCCAGCATTGTTCTGCATGATGCAGAGGAGGACAAGATACATGTAATTGAGACGTTTAAAATAATGAAAGATTTTGATAGAGTTATGGAGTCATATAGCATAGAAACAGGCCCTTCGGCCCACCATGTCTATGCTCATCAACAAACAACAAACTACACTAATCCCATTTACCTGCACTTGGTCCATAGCCTACTATACCCTGGCATTTTAAGACCTCATCCAGAAGCCTCTTAAATGTTGTGAGTGTACCTGCCTCCACTACCCTCTCAGGCAGCACCTTCCATATTTCTAACACCCTCTGGGTAGAAAAAAAATCTTTCTTAGATCTCCTCTAAACCACTTACTCCTCATCTTAAACTTATGCCGTCTGGTCTTAGACATATCTGCTATGGTGAAGAGAGTCTCATAATCTACCCTGTCTATGCCTCATAATTTTAAATACCTCAATTAGATCCCCTCCTCCAGCATCGTCTGCCCCTGGGAAAACAAACCCAGGCTATCCAGTCTCTCTTCATAAGGGAGACTTTTCATCCCAGGCAACACCTTGGTGACTCTCCTCTGCACCCTCTCCCGTGCAATCTCATCCTTCCAATAGTGTGGTGACCAGAATTGCGCATAATATTCCATCTGTCAATAGATCCAATAAAGTAAGCATGTTTCCACTGGCAGGAGATCTGGTAGCCAGAGGACAGATTTAAGATGATCAATGTCTATGGAAAAATGAAAACATAGAAAATTGTAGGCTATTCAGCCCATCTTGCCTGCCCCACTATTTAAAACAATTATGGCTGCCCTCTATCTTCATGCCTTTAGTGAAAGGAACAAAGAGACCGAGGGGTGCACGTGCATAGTTCCCTGAAAGTGGAATCTCAAGTGGATAGAGTGGTTAGGAAGGCATTTGGTACACTTACCTTTATTGGTCAGTGCCTTGAGTATAGGAGTTGGGAGGTCATGTTGCAGCTAAAAAAGACATTGGTTAGGCCACTTTTAGAATACAGTGTACAATTCTGGTCTCCCTGCTCCAGGAAAGATGTTGTTAAACTTGAAAGCTTCAGAAAAAATTTACCAGCTGCTGCTGGGGTTGGAGGGTTTGAGCTACAGGGAGAGGCTGAATAGGCTGGGGCTATTTTCCCTGGAGTGTTGGAGGCTTAGGTTTATAAAATCACGAGGGGCATGGATGGGGTGAATAACCAAGGTCTTTTCCCCAGGGTAGGGGAATCCCAAACTAGAGGACATAGGTTTAAGGTGAGAGGGGAAAGATTCAAAAGGGACCTGAGGGGCAACTTTTTCACTCAGAGGGTGGTGCATGTATGGAATGAGCTGCCAGAGGGGATGTTGGAGGCTGGTACAATTACAACATTTAAAAGTCATCTGGATGGGTACATGAATAGGAAGCGTTTAGAGTGATACGGGCTAAATGCTGGCAAATGGCAGTAGGTCATTTCAGGATATCTGGTCTACATGGACGAGTTAGGGTGAAGTGTCTGTTTCCATGCTGTATGACTCTATGGCTCTATAACAACTGATGGTAACTGTCATGGTCAACATTTACTGTAATTGTACCCACATCCACCACTTCCTCAGGAAGTTCATTCCACCCTTGAACCATCCTCTGTGTAAAAAAATTTGCCTCTTTTGTCTTTTTTATATCTCTCTCCTCTCATCTTAAAAATGTGCCCCTAGCCCTGAAATTTCCCATTTTAGGTAAAAGACAACTACCATCAACTATACCTCTCATTATTTTATAAACTTCTATCAAGTCACCTCTCAACCTCCTATGCTCTAATGAAAAATGTCCAGGCCTATCCAGCCTTTCTTCATAACTCAAACATTCCATACTTGACAACATGCTGGTAAATCTCTTCTGAACCCTCTCCAGCTTCATAATATCCTTCCCATAACTGGATGACCAGAACGGGACACATTATTCCAGAAGAGGCCTCACCAATGTTCTGTACAACCTCAACGTAACGTTCCAACTCTATACTCAAAGAACTGAGGAAACGAAGGCAAGCGTGCCAAATGCCTTTTTAACCATCCTGTCTCTACGTGATGCGAACTTCAAGGAATTATGTACCTGCATCCCTAGGCACCTCTGTTCTATAATGCTACTTAAGGCCCTACCATTAATTGTATAAACCCTACCCTTGTTTGTTGTACCAAAATGCAATAACTCGCATTTATCCAGATTGAACTCCATCTGCCGTTTATCAGCCCATTGACCCAACTGATCAAGATCTTTGTAATCTTAGATAACCTTCGTTATTGTCCACTATACCACCTTTTTGGTGCCCTCTGCAAACTTACTACCCATGTGTTCTATGTACTCATCCAAATTATTTATATGAATGACAAACAAAAGAGGACCCATAACTGATCCCTGTGGAACACTGCTGATCACAGGCCTCCAGTCCGAAAAGCAGCCCTCCACCATTACTGTCTATCTTCTGCCACTAGACTATTAATCCAGAGACCAGGTAATGTTCTGGGGACCTTGGTTCAAAACCTGCAATGGCAGATGGTGGAATTTGAATTCAGTAAAAGTCTGCGATTAAGAGTCGAATGATGACCATGAATCTGTTGCCAAGTGTTGGAAATACCCATCTGGTTCACTAATGCCCTTCAGGCAAGGAAACTGCCATCCTTACCTGGTCTGGCCTACATGTGACTCCTGACCCACAGCAATGTGGTTGACTCTCAAATGCTGTCTGAACAATTAGGGGCTGGCCCGTGATGCCCACATCCTGTGAATGAATTAAAAAAAAATAAGGATAGATAAGAAGCCAGAATTGTGTGAGGGCAGGTATCCTAAAGGGTTGATGGATTCAGGGTGGGAGGGAGGAGATTGCAGAGAGGGGTGGGGATGCGCAGTGATTTGAAAACAAGGGTGAGAATTTTATTATCAAGGCATTGCTTGCTGAGAGCTGATATAGGTAGTGAATACTGGGGTGTGAGTGGAAGGGGACTTGCTATGTGTTAATACAGAGTTTTGGATGATCTTGTGTTTACGAAGGGTGGAATGTGGAAGGTCAGCCAGGAGTTGTTGGAATTATTGAGTCATGAGGTAATAATAAAATGAATAGGGTCATCTTCAAATATTCAATAGTGAGTACAGTGCTCTGTTCTTTAAATACTGGTCCATGGGGTGGAATTGAATGTTAAATTGATTGCTTTTTCTCTCATGATTTAATCTACCATTCTATAATTTTATGATTCCATAATTTAGGACACTGAAATTCTATCGTTAATGAAAAACAGGAGAGTGACTGTGTTTCTTTATGATTTCTGAGCCATCGATAGGAATGGATTCTCAGAAGTACATGTGCTTTAAAATTGTCAGTTTTCTTATTGAGACTCCTACAAAGGAAGACAACCATTTACATCACTTTTCACATATAAATGTAGTCTAGTCTGAAGATTGATTATTTAGAAAGGACTGACTGAAGGAATGGTAGGAGCAGATTCGAATAAACTTGCAAAAGAGGATTCGATAAATGTTTGATTTGGAATGCACTTGAGGAATGGAACTAGTTTGATAAATTAATCGATTGATTGATTTTATTGTCACGTGTACCAAAATACAATGAAAAGCTTTGTTTAATTGCTGTCTTAAAGAGCTGACCCAGGCACGGAGGGCCAAATAGCCTCTGCCTGGGCCATAAGATTTTACGATCCAAAATGGGTTTAGAAATAGCAAATCACTGATTAAGTGATTGTAGGAGGAGAGGACGCTCAGGAATGACCTGACAACAGTCTTTAAAGCGATGAAGGAGTTCGAAAAAACCAGAGAAGATGTCTTATCATAAAAGATACATCCACATGCACAAGTTACAACTGAGCCCCAAACACATTTCCACTCATAAGGGGAGACAGACATACATATTTCTTAAACTGCCGCAAGTACATTGGGTAGAGAATTCATAGATCATATCATCGTAGAATCCCTACAGTGTGGAAGCAGGCCCTTCGGCCCAACAAGTCCACACTGACCCTCTGAAGAGCATACCCCCATCCCTTTTCCCTGTAACCCACCTAATCTACACACCCCTGAACACTATGGGGTAATTTCGCATGGCCAATCTACCTAGCCTGCACATCTTTGGACTGTGGGAGGAAACCGGAGCACCCAGAGGAAACCCACGCAGATATGCGGAGAATGTGCAAACTTTACACAGACAGCCACTTGATGCGAGAATTGAACCCAGGTCCCTGGTGCTGTGAGGCAACAGTGGTAACCAGTGAGCCACCGTGCTGCTCTCAGTTGAGCTCATCTTCATTATCATGGAATCATACAACCCAGAAGAAGCCATTGAGTCTGTACCACCAAAAAGGGTGATGAGACAGTGTAACTCTCAGTTTAAGGTTATTTTGGTGAAATTGGACAAATACATAAGGAATAAGGGAACAGAAAGTTATGATAATCTATGTAGGATCAAACCAGAGCTAAATTAAAATTTCAAGTGAATTAGTTATAGGAATGTTGAAAAGCTGAAAGATTTTGCAGGAAGAATGTACAGTTATATATTCCTGACAGGATATCCTTTCCTTTAAAAGATAGAGAGAATGAGATAAATTACAATTTTAGAATGAAACTGGTGTTTTATAAATGATTTTCAATGCACAAAGCTTCTCCTGCCCTTCAACTTATAGAGATTTCAGGTTGTCAGGAACTCAGTAGGAGTTGAGCTCATATTGTTGGTGTCACTCTGCATTGTAAACCAGCCATGCAGCCAGCTGAGCTAAACAATTACACCCACCCCTGCCCCACCCCTGTCCCACCCCACCAACCCTGTTGAAGTGGTGCATGTAAACTGTCAGGCCAGGCAGCATCAGAGGAGCAGGAAAGCTGATGTTTTGGGTCGGGTCCCTTCTTCAGGAATGTCCAGGTCCCGACCCGAAACATCAGCTTCCCTGCTCCTCTGGTGCTGCCTGGCCTGCTGTGTTCCTCCAGCTCCACACTGTGTTATCTCAGACTCCAGCATCTGCAGTTCTTACTATCTCCATGTAAACTGTCACATGTGTTATGACAAATAGGAAGAGAATTTGATCGTTGGATTTTGTTCTTAAAGCTGAACATTCTATTCAATCTGGAGAGTGAAGTTGCATCAAAGAGATGGCGATCTGTGGAGACGGAACTGTTTGACTTGGACGTTGATGTTTTAGATAATATGGATGACCTGAATCACCTATCACTACATATCTGTACCAGGTAAACACAACTCTGATTTTTAACTGCTCGATCTTTCATGCCCTGAACTCGGCAAAGCAATAAAAGAGCTAACTGCTTCTGCAGCTCAGTATCCTGCGATTGTCTGGTCATTTATCACAGTTGGCGGAGCTCATTGCGAACAAATTGGTAGCCAAGTTCCTTCCAGTGCAAGAGTGACCACACTTTAGTAGAATATCATTTATTGTCTGCCCTTTGTGGCCTTGAGATGCTGGCAGGCCTTTTTACACTTTGGCAAATGTGAGAAATGTGTGAGGTCGCTTTTAAACTCAGAAAATTGATATCTAGCTGGATTCAGATGAAGGTCTGAAGGAGGCTTCCTTCCCTAAAGGAATCACCCAGTTGGTTCTGATGGGTTCCTTATAATCTGATTAATGTTTTTGGGACCTTGCAAAACACCTGCAAAAGCAACTCACTGTAAAGCTACCATACTCTCACTAGACCATAGGGCTGCTTTCTCATTAGAGAGAGACAATTGGTGGTGGTTTAACCTGAGGGTCGTAACATCTCAGATGAAGGGGGGAAAGTTGAGAAGGAGAATCTTTCATGGTAACCTCAGCTGGTGTGGGGATTAATGTTAATGTCATTGTGCCTTGCTAACCAGCTATCTGAGTTACACCAACCCCTAAACTGGATTGGACACTGTGTGGCTTAAAAGCCCACTCAGCTCTGTTTTCTTAGTCCTCAAAAGACCAGCGCTATGGGAAAGGACAAAGGAAAAGCACAAAAAACACACAGAAACTCCCTTTGAATCACGCCGGCCATTGGCATGAATGACTGGGAAGAACTTTTTACCAATTGTCCAAAATATTGGCTTCCTTTCCAGCCAGCTGTATCTTTCTGAATCCAATTGGTTTAATGATGAGGTAGAGTGGGTGCAGGGAAGTGAAGAAAATCCTGCTGTCTGGGTTCAAAATCTCTCAGGGGACATGCTGCCCAATGGGCTCAAAGACCTGGGAGTTAGAGATCAGCCTGTTCAGCCCCAGGAAGATCCATGTAGAAGCTTGCGTCCTCAAATCGAGAAGCAGCCAACAAGTCCATGGTGTCATCTGCACACTTAAGAACAACGTCTTGTCCATCAATATCTCCAACAAGTTGTCAAATCTGAGCTGGGGGCAGCAGTGAAGATTTCCTAACCGTCCTGGGATAGAAAGAGGCAAAAAAACGGTCAGCTGTGGACCTGCCCCTGATCGCCATCTGGTGTCTCTCACTGGGATTGCTGGTGTGCAGGAATTGAAAAGTCACCAGAGCCCCAGAGATAACAAGGTGTAGAGCTGGATGAGTTGTGTTTCAGTGGTTTTCAGGGATGAGGATTGTTCTAGCTCAGGTGAGGTGGAAGGTGGAATTAGCTCCCACGAGTGGAAAGTAACACAGGCATTTTTAAAGGGAGATGGCAAAGGTACCAACTGAGTAGATTCCATTGAAATCAATAAAGATGTTCATTATTTCAGAAAATTATAAGTCCAGCAACAAAGTTGGAAAACAATTAAAATCGATGACCAAGGCCTATGACAATGGCATGTACTTAACAGCACAAAACCAAGTACTCACCTTCACATGCACTTCCTGTCACATATTGCCCCCATGAGTATATTATTTTACTCCTTTCCCATTTGCCTTTATTTAGTTTCCCTGTAATTATGATAGGTAGAATCCCTACAGTGTGGAAAGAGGCTACTCAGACCATCATGTCTACACCATCCGTCTGAAGAACTTAACACTCCACCATGTCCCTGTAACCCTGCCTTTTCCTTGGTTGACCTACACATACCTGGACACTACGGGACAATTTAACATGGCTAGTTCACCTAACCAGCACATCTTTGGACTATGGGAGGAAACTGAGCACCGTGAGGAAACTCACACAGACACAGGGAGAGTGTGCAAACTCCACACAGATACACACCCGAGGATGGAATCGAACCCAGGTTCCTAGCCCTGTGAGGCAATGGTGCTAACTACTGAACCTCCAGCTGGCATTTGTCACAGTTGCTCATTCTGACCCACCTCGGGGTCGAAGAAACTTCTCTTGAATTTCCTGTTTGATTTATTAGTAACTCTGTCATGTCTAATGACCCCAGATTGTGGTCTGCATCCACAAGTGGGTCCACCTTCTCCTGGCCTAACCCATCCAATTGTGTCATCATTTAAAAACAAACCTCTACACGGGTCTTGTCCAGAGAGATTGTTAGGATAGTAATGAAGACATAAAAGTAAAGGATAATAAGAGCACTAAAGCATCAGGAAGGATGGAAAGGAGTGAGTAATTGGGAAAAAGAACTCATAAAACATCACAAGGAATAATAAAGTGCTTTACAAGGATATCAGTATAAGTATTGTTTGAAAGGAGACTGCGCTCCTGAGTGGAGAAAACTATCAGTTTCTTAATGACAATCAAGCATTGGAAATGGTGTTAACTGAGTGCTTCTGTCTAGTGTTCAAATCCAATGACAAGTTGCCAGGAATTATGGCCAATATCCAGGGCTCAAGATTGATTTGGCAAGCAGCTGGATGTTGTAAATGGGACACAGTGGAATTTGGCACTTTGGGGAGCCTGCCTCATGATTTATTAAGCGAGCTATCAAACGTTTCCTCTAACACTGACCCTCACTAAGTTCAGCATTTGGCAGCTCCAGATGCACACAACCAAATGTCTGGGAGTCTGCCGATCAGTCAGCAAGTTCCATTGTGTTAATGTCTTAATGGATATTAATAATATCAGTGCGACTGTAACACCTCTAAAGCATTGCTAAAAAGAGGCACAGATTGTTAAAGCTTTTCAGTTGGTGGTTATCAGGGCATATACAAGAAGGCAAATTATCACAAGATTATAACAATTGAGAAAGGGTGCTGATTCGTTGGCAAATTAGCTGTGATTGGCTGAGGCATTAACATGGAAACAGATGAAGCAAACTACAGGCTTCCCAAGTTCCCGGGTAATTCGAGAAAGGCACAAGTCTTGAACATATTTTTTGCAGAGAACGTGAATTCACCTTGCTTCAAGCTAATGTAAATCAGCCATGTTATAAATGTTTTATAATTAATAAATAAGATAAATATACACTTAGAGAACAATAAGTTAATATAAAACAGTTAACATGGCTTTGTCAAGGGCAGGTCATGTCTGACAAATTTGGGTGAGTTCTTTGATAAGGTGACACAGGCAGTGGATGAGGGCAGTGCTGTGGATGTTGTATATTTTGACTTTCAGAAAGCATTTGATATGATGTCACATGGCAGCTTGGTTCGAAAATTAGAAATGCCTGGGATTGATTGGTCCTTGGCAGCATGGGTTAGAAGTTGGCTAAAAGATAGAAAACAGAGACTAGGTATAGATGGGCATTTTTCCGATTGGAGATGAGTTATAAGTGGCGATCCCCAGGGATCAATGTTGGCACACTTGCTTTTTATGATTTATGTAACAATTTTGGACATGGATGTTGAGCGCAAAATCTCTAAATTTGCAGATGATGTGAAGCTAGGGAGATTACTGAATTGTGAGGATGATGCTGAGCGACTTCAGAGGGACATTGGACAAGTTGGCCAAATGAGCAGGCACCCGGCAGATAAATTTTAATGCAGAGAAATATGAGGCAGAAGAAACATGGAGAGACAATACAGGCTCAATGGTACAACTGTGAGGGGAGTATAGGAGCAGAGGGACCTAAGGGTTCATGAACGTAATTCTCTGAAGGTGGCCAAGAAAGTTGAAACAGTTGTTAAGGCTTATAGGATCCTTGGCTTTATATGCTAAGGCATAGAGAATAAAGGCAAAGAAGTGATGCTACACCTCTACAAGTCATTGGTTAGACCACATTTGGAGTATTGTGTTCAGTTTTGGTCACCTTGTTCAAAGAAGGATGTTGAAGCCTTGGAGAGAGTGCAAAGGAGATTTACGAGAATGATACCAGGAATGATGGATTTTAGATACAATGAAAGATTAGAGAAATTAGGCTTATTCTCCTTGGAGCAGAGAAGATTAAGAGGTGACCTTATTGAGGTGTTCCAAATTATGAACAATTTTGACAGGGTTGAGAAGGATATTCTGTTTCCACTAGTTGCTTCAGTAACTAGGGTTCACAATTTCAAGACTGTCAGCAAGAGAGCTAGGAGTAAAATGAGGAGAAATGTCTTTACTCAGAGAGTTGTTATGGTTTGGAATGTGCTGCCTGGGAGAATGGTGGAGGCAGATTCCGTAGGAGGTTTCCAAAGGAAACTTGATATATGTTTACAAGTGACACATTTACAGGGCTACAGAGATGGGGACTAACTGGGTAGCTCTTTCGGGAGCTGGGGCATAGAAACAATGAGTGGAATAGTCTCCACCTGTATTGTAAAATCCTACAATTCTAACTAGTTTAAAGATGTTACGTGTGGAACTTGGATCCAGGACTCTTAGCTCAGAGAAGGCAACATGACCACAGTGCCACAATGAGACATGTCACAAACCTATTATATTTTCTAAAATTCTAGGTGTAAAGTTTAGTATCAACCTGTGATCATGCAGTGCACTCTCATGGGCTATTGTTTAGAATTTGGATTTCTGCAGTTTATATTTACTGCCACAGTTTACATTTAATTCCTGGTTGGGAAGATGATTTTTAAAGAAATCAAGGGATATGTGGGAAAGGGAAAATGGAGTTGGAGATGATCAGCAATGTTCTTATTGAATCATGGAGCAGGCTCAAAGGGTTGAATGACCTACTCATACTCCTATTTTTGATATTCTTATGCTGTTATCTAAAAGTATAGCGTCTTTTCCTTTCAGGTAATGTTATAGGGACCTTGATTTAAATTGCTCCATGGCAGATAGTTGAATGTGAATTACATAAAAGTCTGGAATTAAGAGCCTGATGATGACCATCAATCCATTGGCGATTGTCGGAAAAGCCCATCTGGTTCACTAATGTCTTTTAGGGAAGGAGGCTGCCATCCTTACCTGGTCTGGCCTACATGTGACTCCAGACCCACAGCAATGTGGTTGGCTCTTAACTGCCCTCTAGGCAATTAGGGATGGGCAATAAATTTGGGCCTAGCCAGCGATGCCCACATCCCGGGAATGAATTAAAAAAAATGTAATGCACTCCAGCCACATCCCCCTTGACCTTAAAATAGTTAACATTGCGCTGATTGCCACACCAGAAAGTCATTGAGAGTCAATCACATCTGGATTCACGCAGGCTTGATCAAGAAAGGATGACAGATTTCCTTCCATTCAAGAAATTAGTAAATCAGACAGGATTTTAACAATAATTGATGAGAGTTTCAGCCTCACTGTTACTGAGGCTAGTTATGAATTCCAGATTTTATTTCTTTTCAACATCCAGAAGTGCTTTTCTACAGAACTGAACTGTTTTGTTTCCGTCATCAAACCCCTTGTAATTCTTTTCTGTGCTGTTAGGGAGTGATGGTTGTGTAGTGATGTTGTCAGTGGATGAGTAATTAGGAGTCCCTTTGGAATGAGTGAGGAAAACATGAGCTCTAAATCCCACCACAGCTGCTGGTGAACTTTGAATCCAATGAATAAAATCTGGAATTAACCCCCTCTCTCCATTACCAGTGGTGGTCTGCGTTACTCTCAATAGCTTTGTGTATAAATTGATGAATTGGGCTAACATGGGTGATTTACTCGTGGTGGTTAATAAATACAATGGGTGATTTGGTGATGTGAAAGAGCATTTTTGGATATACCCAATATCTAACCCCAAATCCATCCCATATGCTTTACTGGAGAGAAATGGCACTCCATAAAACATCCTTGAACAATGATGGACAGATGGGCAGAGGGGAAGGGAATGGATAATGTAGCAACTCAGGTAAAACAACAATAAGCGTGAAATTGATTTCAACTTTGTTTCTCAAGGTATCGAGGTAAGGGAAACATCTCCAGCACGGGAATGGCTCTGATGGAAGTCGGAATGCTGAGTGGCTTCGTCCTGGAAATGGACAGGATCCAGATCAAAGACCCAATGAAAAAAGTCGAGTTCAAAGCCGGGAAAGTCAGTCTGTATTTCGAATCGGTGAGTTGGGGATTTTTCTTTCGTGTGTAGGAGGCGACAGTCACTGGGTTTCTCTTCAATATTTAGGAGAGGATTTTCCTCTGTCATTACTCATGTAAACCACAAAAAATTCAGATGTAGACACACAGAAACGTGACTCAGCTTTTTTTGCTTTCCAGTTGAATGACACAGAGGTTTGTGTGAACATCCCCGTGATAAGGGACTCCAAAGTTGCGAACGCCCAGGATGCTGTGGTCAGTGTAGTTGAGTACTATGAGCCAGGTAAGACACTGAAGTGTTTGGTTGGGATCGGGTGTGGATCTGTACGCCTGACCTCCGTGGAAATGATGGTCTGATTTCTCCAGAGTTGATCAGGTCGTGGGAGTGAGCTGGGCTGTTGGGTGGTGGGATAGAGTGTTTGGAGAGGGTTTTGGGCAGTGGGGACACTCTGTGATGTGGGGAGTGGTCAGTTCAGGCCAGGGGTTAGAATCGAGGGTAAGGGTGTTGAACAGGATGGGGTCATCCAGAGAGTTAGTTATTCCGTTACCCAGGAGGTGGACTCGGTGTTTCCTGTTTAATATTTCCTGGGGAACTGTCGGGGATTAAGTCAGAGCTGTGTAAAGTCTCCGACTCTACCTTCATGTATGAGTCATTCGCCCAGGGACCAAAGATTACCCATCGACTGTGCAAGCCTTGTGGGCAGTTCCTACGGAGTCAGTGCATCTGTAGGATGACAAATGTGTATCTCTAACCATATATCCAGACCCTGACTGTCCACAGCAGGAGAATCTGGGACATGTCTCCAATTCGTTCAGTCCTAACTTGGCACAGCCTTCATTCAATATCCTGCTCTTGGAAAGGTAGCTCTCCACCTTGGTCTCAACAGAAAATAATCAGTTTAAAAAGAAATGACTCCACCTTACCATTTTAAATCATTCTCGGGATGTGGGCATCACTGGCAGGGACAACACTTAATGCCTGTCCCCTGGAGAAGATGGTGCTGACCATCCTTGGTGTACCACTGGAATGTGAGGAGGGGTGGTTCTCTCATGTAGAGCAGAGAGCATAGAACATAGGACATAGAGCTTAGAACAGCACAACACAGAAAATGGCCCTTTGGCCCACCATATCTATGCTGACCATGATGCCATTCTAAATTAATCGCGTCTGCTTGCACATGGTCCGTATCTTTCTATTCCCTGCCTGTTTATTGTCTGTCTAAATGCCTCTTAAACAATGCTATTGTAGCTGCTCTGACCATTTCCCCTGGCAGCACATTTCAGGCACCTACCACCCTTTGTGTAAAAAAACTTGCTTCTCACATCTCCTTTAAACTTTCCCCCCTCACTTAAACATAAGGAGGTGTTGGAAGTGTTAAAATGTACGAAGGTGGATCAGTCTCCTGGTCCTGACCAGATTTATTCAAGAACCCTGCAAGAGGCTAGAGAAGAAATTGCAGGGGCCCTGGCTGATATATTTGCATCATCGTTAGCCATTGTGAGGTCCCAGAAGACTGGAGGGTAGCAAATGTTGTGCCCTTATTCAAGAAGGGCTGCAGAGAAAATCCTGCTAGGTAAGTTACTTGAGAAGATTCTGAGGGATAAGATACACATCTATTTGGAAAGATAGCGTTTTATTAGGAGTAGTCAGCATGGTTTTGTGCATGGGAGATCATGCCTCATAAATTTGTTCGAGTTCTTTGATGAAATGACCAGGAAGTTTGATGGTGGCAGGGTTGTAGACATAGTCTATATGGATTTCAGTGAGGCTTTTGATAAGGTTCCAGATTGTGGGCTGTTCTGGAAGGTTAGATCACACAGAATCCAGGGAGAGTTAGCAAATTGGAATCACAATTGGCTTAATGGTAGGAAGCAGAAAGTAATACAGGAAGGAAGCTTGTCTGACCGGAGGCCTGTGATTAGTGGTGTGCCTCAGGGTTTGGTACCAGCCTCATTGCTGTTTGTTATCTATATCAATGATTTGGATGAGAGTCATCATTAGTAAGTTTACGGATGACACTAAAATAGGCAGTATTCTTGTCAGTGCGGAAGGTTATCAGAAATTGCAGCAGGATCTTGATTAGATGGGGAAGTGGGCTGAGAAATGGCAAATAGAGTTTAACATTGATGAGTGTGAGGCATTGCATTTTGGAAAGTCAAATCAAGTTAGGAATTTTATGGTGAATGGTAGGGTCTTAAGGAGTGTAGTGAAACAGACGGACCTTGGAGTTCAGGTGCATGGTTCTCTGAAAGTGGAGTCACAGGTAGACAGGACAGTGAATAAAGTGAGATAACAAAGTGTAGAGCTGGATGAACACAGCAGGCCAAGCAGCATCATAGGAGCAGGAAGGCTGACGTTTCGGGCATAGACCCTTCATCAGTTTGGCACACTCGTCTTCATCAGTCAGGGCATTGAGTACAGAAGTTGGGAAGTTATGATGCAGTTGTCCAGGACATTGGTGAGGCCGCACTTGGAGTATTTTGTTCAGTTTTGGTCACCTTGCTATAGGAAGGATGCTATTAAACTGGGAAGAGTGCAGAAGACATTTACAAGGATGTTGCTAGGACTCAAAGAACCGAGTTATAGGGAGAGGTTGGACAAGCTAAGACTTTTTTCTTTAGAGCATAGGAGACTGAGGTGGGATCTTATAGAAGTGTATAAGATCATGAGAGGCACGGGTAGGTTGAATGCATTCAGTCTTATTCCCAGGGTTGGGGAATCGGGACTAGAGGGCATTAGTTTAAGGTAAGAGGGGAAAGAATACAGGGGAACCTGAGGGGCAACATTTTTACACAGAAGGTGGTATGCACATGGTCACACCTGCCAGCAGAAGTGGTTGAGGTGGGTACATTAACAACTATTAAAAGACATTTGGACGAATACATGGATAGGAAAGGTTTAGAAAGAAATGGGCCAAGTTCAGGGAAATGGGGTTAGCGTGGATGGACATTTTGGTCAGCACGGACCAGTTTGGGCTGAAGGGCCTGACTCCGTGCTGTAGGACTCTATGACTCTATATACCTGCTAGGATTTTTCCCCTGGGAAAAAGACTCCAACTATCCACACTATCATACATCTCATAATTTTACAGACTTCTAACAGGTCACCTGTCACCCTTTGAAGCTCTAGTGAAAACAAAATCCAAGTTTGTCCAACCTCTCCTTATAGCTAATACACTCCAGTTCCAGCAACATCCTGGTAAACCTTGTAACAGATTGTAACAAGGTCAGCCAGCTGGACCTCATAGACTGAGTTCCCTGATTGGGGCTGTTAAGCTGGTCTAATCAGGGAGCCCTGGCTGATAAATATAAACATTCACTCTGAGAGCTGGCTCTGAGGGAAAAGGATCAGTGTCAGGGATTCTCAATGTGTAAATAAAAGGTGACTTGGTGACGGAATACTGGCCTTTGTGGAGTTATTTCAAATCTCTCTAGTGCTGCTAGGTGAGGAGTGTCTATGACTATGAAGGAAGAGCAGATGAGAGTCCATTTGGATAGTGTATGTATGTCTCAGAGGGAACCCCTTGCTAAATTATAAATATGTAAACATAGGAACAAGGGTACGCCATTCAGCCCTTCGAGCCTGCTCCTCCATTTGATATAATCATGGTTGATCATCCAACTCAATCTCCTGTCCCCACTTTCTCTCCATATCATTTCATCCCTTTAGTCCTAAGCACTATATCAAACTCTGTCTTGAAAGCATTCAATGTTTTGTATAAAAGAGATCTTTCCAAATAGATTTCAGTGCAGTTAATTGTTGTGTTTTGCTTTCAATACAGCGACAATTGTGGTGAGGACATACAGCTCGAAGGTGATGTCGGACACTGACACTTGTACTTTCTGTGGTGTTGACTGTAACCTGTGCAGCTCCCAGTTCAGCTCCATATCAGACCAGTCTACAACCCTTCCTCTGATGGCATGGAACGTCCTCCTGCTCTGTCTTCCCAGCGTTTATCTCAGCTTATCTTAATTACACAGCTATCATTGATTATAAAATCTGCCTCTTGGTGAAATAATTACTGCTTTAATTGGGAGAGAGATTAAGAAAGACTGGCAGAAACATGTTTGTATCTGGCTTGGAAACTGCCTTTCGTAAACTGCTGTTCATAATTTCTTCAACGTCCTCCTTTTGTAAATGTGTTCATATAAAAGGTGTATTTTTTTTTGTGAATGTTTCTCCTCTTTTACCCTGCCTTTATAATTGTAGTCGCAGCTGCTTTAACCCAACCTCTCCAGATTTCAGAGCGAGCGAGACTACACTGAATTTACAACTGCTCACTGAGTTATTTCCTCTTCAACTCACTGCAACAAACTTTAGATATATCAGCTTGCTGTGTTTGGAAACTGGCATGTTTCAATATTCACATAGTGCATGAACTTCCCTGACTTTCTCCTCTGGCCTCCTTGTGTATGTGCGTGCATGCTTGATTTTCCATTTGCAAGTCCTGATTCGCAACAGAAATAAAAGAAAATCTTTAATTCACTTAGACTAAATCATAATTAAGTTGTGTGTGTATGTGTGCAGCAAAGGGATCAGGTCTGGCTGATATTCTGTAAAAAAATTCTTGATGTTATAACATAAGTAAAAATAAAATCAGGTTTTGCCCTGAAGTTCTTGGTAGTTTTTTATTTAGAAATCAGTACAGTAAAATTAAATCGTCGACAGACATTATTGAAATGAAAGATTTTTAATAACATCTCCATTATTCAGCTTATGGGGCTGCCGTATCTTAACATCGCAGATAAGTTTTTGGTGAGTGATGCACTCTAACAACTTACAGTAAGGAATGCGTTACTGACAAGTTAGCAAATAGCACAGAGAATATTTGCATGCAGTGATAGGTGTGATAACTGATGGGATAAAGGAGCTCCTCTCAGTTAAAGGAATCTTCAATTCACTCCACTCCTTCCTGCTCTGTCTCCCAGAAGGCCTGAAGCATGTTACATTCAAAGTTGCCACTGAATCTCCTTCCACAATTCTTTGTCATACAGCGCACTACAGGTTCTAACAATATGAAATAAGTTACCCTTCCTTTTCAGCAGAATTAGCCCAGAAATGTCTGAAAAGGGAATGGGAATGGTTATTGTATCAGATTGAGGTTCTTTGCTGGGTTCGTTGCTAAGACCATTCAGACATTTCATTGAAGTTTACCTTCTTGGCTGTGACAGGATGATGGGGCCGTTAGGTAAAGCTCAGGGATCTGCAAATTGTTCAGGTCCTGTACAAAGGTTCGACACCAAGAGCTGGACTTAGCTCCTTCCTTCCATCTGATAGTTACCCCACTTTCTAGCTTTGCCAAAGGAAGGCTGCATCTGATAGACATGCCCCCTCCTCCACCCCCCATACAATAAAAACATAGAAAACAGGTGAAGCAGTGGGCCATTTGGTCCTTCGAGCCTGCATCACTATTCAATACAATCATGGCTGATCATGCAATTTCAGTATCCCACTCCCGCTTTCTCCCCATACTCCTTCATCCCTTTAACTGCAAGGGCCACATCCAGCTCCCTCTTGAATATTTCTTAAGATTTGGCCCCAACAGCTTCCTGTGGGAGAGAATTCCACAGGTTCACAACTCTCTGAGTGATGAAATTCTTCCTCATCTCAGTCCTGGATGTCTTACCCCTTATCCTTACACTGTGACACCTAGTTCTGGACTTCCCTAACATTGGGAGCATTCTTCTTGCATCTAGCCTGTCCAGTCCCATCAGGATTTTATGTGGGATATTACTGGGATGTGAGTGTCATGGGCAATGCCATTACTTGGTGTCCATCATTAGGTTGCCTTTGAGAGAGTTGGAGCAATCTGCCTTCTCTTGAATCCATTTCCCCGGGTGGCTAGAGGAGGGTCTACACCAACAGAAGCATCCAATGTGTTGGGAACTGGGATCAGGAAGGAGTTTGTCTCTCAGACAGTGGTGAATCTTTCAAACTAGCTTACCTCAGAGAGTTGCCAATGCTCATGTACAATCATGATCGAGAATCCATGGATACTTGGACACTAACAGATTCCAAGGATCTGGTGAGGGGGGAGAAAGTGGATTTGAGGCAGGCAAACCTGAACAGTAAAATCACCACAGTCTTATTGGGTTAAGGGGTTACCCTCTCATTAGAGAGAGAGAGACAACTGGGGTGGGGGTTTAACCTGAGGGTGGCCGTGCCGATGGTAAAGGGAGAAGTTGAGAAAGAGAGTCTTTCATGATAACCCCAGCTGGTGTGGGAACAGAACCCACACTGTTGGGATCACTCTCTGCCTCAAATCAGCTGGCCAGCCAACTGAGCTAGCTGACCCCCCTGTGAATAGGGAGTGTGCAGCCTTCTCCTGTTCCTCAGGCTTGTGTTCTTTTATGAGAATATTCAGGGCCTGGGACAGGGGTGTACAACAGGATCCCCTGGATGGGGGCTCTAGGGAGTCCGCTGTAACCAGGTGGAAGTGCTGTTAGTGGGGCCAAGGAGCAGCAGTTAAATTCAGGACTTCTGTCCCTGTCCCTGAGAATATTATCCTTCTCTTTGCACTAGGGCAAGTGCAATTCATTTTCTTTTCTTATGTAATTGAGCTTTCTCATTGCTGCATAAGCACAATGACTATTGTCACTTTTATTTTTCTGTACAAAATATTTGAAGAATAAATTCCAAACTTACATTAACCCGACAGGGAGATCTCTTTATTGGTTTCAAGGAGACCTTTATTGGTCTCGGTCTCTCTCGCTGTTTCTCTCTCTCTCTCTCACACATGCATACAACTATGTTCTCTCTACACAGAGAGTAAAATAATGCACAGCGTTTGACCAAGAACAAGAAGACTAAATCTCACTGAAAAGAGAGACATTTTACTGTCGTTTTTCATCCTGCACTCATCAGGACTAATGCAGGAATACCAAATTTCAAACAATCACAACAATTTATACCTTAGGAGAAAATGTGGGCTGATTGGTTGGCAAGTTGACTGAAGTGTTGCTATGGAGAAAGTGACCGGTAAATGATGCAAGTTTTGTGTAGAATGCGCATTATCGGAACATTTATATATCAGAATGAAATTGCATTTATATTGCACTTTTCACATCCTCATGATGTCCTGAAACTCTTAAAGGTGAGGAAATACTTTTTAAGTCACAGTCACTATGAAAATGTAAAGGATTCAACAACCAAAATGCATATAGAAAGTTCCCACAAACAGCTCTGCTGCAAACCATTAATTAATCTGTTCTTGGGGGCTCAGATAACTAATTACCCAGGGCACAAGGAGAACATCACTATGCTTTTTGGAATAATGTCTTAGGATCTTTAATGTCCAATCGAAAGGACAGACAATGCCTTGGTTTAGTTTCTCATCTGAAAGAAAAGTGGTCAGATCTGAGAATATGAAAATGAAGAAAGTATTTGGTACGCTTGCCTTTATTGGTCAGTGCATTGAATATAGGAGTTGGGGGGGTCATGTTGTAGCTGTACAGGACAATCGTTCGGTCACTATTGGAACACTGCATTCAGTTCTGGTCTCCCTGCTATAGGAAGGATGTTGTGAAACTTGAAATGATTCAGAAAAGATTTACAAGGACGTTGCCAGAGTTGCAGGGTTAGAGCTTTAAGGAGAGGCTGAATAGACTGGGGATGTTTTCCCTGGAGTGTCGGTGGTTATAGAAGGTTATAAACTCATGAGGGGCACGGACAAGGTGAATAACCAAGGCCTTTTCCCCAGGGTGGGAGAGTCCAAAGCTAGAAGGCTCAGGGTTAAGTGAGAGGGGATAGATTTAAAAGGGACCTAAGGAGCAATTTTTTCAAGCAGACAGTGTTGCTTGTATGGAATGAGCTGCCAGAGGAAGTGGTGGAGGCTGGTACAAGTATAACATTTGAAATTCATGTGGATGGGTATATGAATATACCCATGGGTTTAGAGGGATATGGGCCAAATGCTGGCAAATGGGATTAGATTGATTTAGGATATTTGGTCGGCATGAGCGAGTTGGACCGAAGGGTCTGTTTCTGTGCTGTACAACTCTGTGACTCTATGATAACCTTTTTTGATACAGGCTTTGGAGCAGAGACTGGTGTAGTTCAACCTTCCAGCAAGGGGCAGAAGACTTACAGCTGAGTAACCATGGCCTGTGGAAGGTCAGGGTTTGGAAAACCAAACAGCCATTCCCTTATTTTTTCACGTTCTTAGGCGGCCAGTGCATTGATAGAAAAATACTGGAGATAACCTAGAGATGTTGTGAGAAGCATAATAATAATAGCAAAAACTTGCATTGGGTTGGTATCAGCATGTGGTAAATGTTCCAAGATGCCACACAGATAAACCTGTCACTCGCTATGAGGCAGAATTCAATGTGGAACCATGTAAGGAGCTTTTAGGATAGATTTGAAGGATTGCCTTTAAAGTGCGAAACTCAGGAAGGAATTCAAGAGCTGGGGTCTGAGATACATAACCACTAAC